CTGTTGTTGGATCCAAAGGACCAATTCTTTCGGAGTTCCTTGGGGATATGTTGTGCCTGGACCCACGTAGCTCTTGTGCACAGCTCAAGTTATAATGGTCACGCAACTGCATGCTTTTACTCTGTTTACTCCTTCTGTGTTGATGATGATGTATTTATCGTGCCAGGCTTACACCCTCCATCCATTGGGCGTCACACGCATGGAGGAAATCTAGAATACAATTTCCTCCATTCTCCAGCAAAGCCCATCCGGTGCCTGACTTTTCCAAATACGTGCCTCAGGCTAGTTACATCGGGTCGAATAGGTAGTAACGCATTCGCCATGATCTTATGACCATGTATTGAGGGAAAGCCTTCGTGGGAAAACCTCAATAATTCCTCCTGTACTCTTTCACGACGAGCGGCCGTAGTCCCCGCTTAAACAGGCCGTGTAGGAATCCAACCTACTACATCTAAAAATCACATCCAGCACCCAACCAACTGTGCCAACAGCCTGCTGAAAATACCATATTGTTTTCCCCAAATTCTCCCCTGCATTGCCCTCAACCCCCATTTGAGAGGTCTGAATTCCAAAATCGAGAGCTCAAAGCCGAGGCATCGGTGCCATAGCTTTGTCGTACATTTTTCGTTATCTGAGTGAGGCTTCTTCGTTCGCGCCGTCTTTGGAATGTGTTGAATAGTTGAGAATGTTGATGTTGCGGTCGAGGTGCTTGTTTAAAATGAGGCCGAGCAATTGCCAGTCTTGCACACAATGTTAGTAAGGTTGAAAGCGAAAGGAATTTTACCTTTGATTTTGGAGGGTTGTTGGTGAGTCGTAAAGTCCTTCCAGTCAAACTCAATTGAGAAGTTGTTAGAAGACTGAATAGAAGAGACCCAAACTTAAACTTTTGATCTATTGTGTCGGGGACAGAACCTAGCCCATGTGTCAATCGAAATCGACTAGGCCACGCTCAGTAAGCTACCGTTGCAAAGGATGCGATTCTTCTTGGCTATCCCAGATATGCACAGCATACTGAGCGGTTACCCCAGCACCACTGGAAGGTGAAGAATTCGACTTTGCCGACTCCTGCCACATTGAGTTGGTATCATTAGTAAGTGTTTGGATTAGGTTGTAGTTGGCAATTCCTAACCTAATTGTGTTAGATTGCAGGCTTCTGTCTTAGGTATTCATGGTTTCCTAATTAAGGTTATTGTTAAGGTTTAGCTTCGGTTATCTCACTGATTACCGAGCCGGCAGTATATCAAGGAGGCATACAGCTCAGGTGGAAGTACCGCACGGTAAACTATATCTGAAGCTGCTACGTATTGTAGTAGCTAAAAGAATACTGCTATTCGGAAACTACATCTCCATCCCAGAACCATGAGATAAATCAGGCTATGCACGCTAGATATAGAATGGCTAGCGGATATGGTGAATATGGCAGTAAATACGTAGATATATAAAGACATTGTAGCCTCTAAATTTGAGGATAAGTCTCCAACCAAATTACATCGGAATTAATCCTAGCCTCTCATAAAGCAATCTCATGAATCTAGTTCCGTGTCTGTGATAACAGACCAATAAACAAAGTCGCCGATCAAGTTCAAAGTAGATTAGTAAGCAAAAGTCTAGGGACTATAAGTAGAGAGCTTTCCTCCAAAGTTGATAGAGCAAGTAGCTCAGTCTTTCCTCATTTAATAGAGTTCATTCTCCGCATTACTATTTGACTGATTCGTCCTAGCAGCCCATCTGTGAAGACTAACTGTTAACTCCCACAAATTGTATGAACACCCAAATCATATACTTATCACAACAGAATACCATGTCTCAGCCCTGTAAAGCAACGTCGCAAAGGCTGCTCCTTGGATGTAAGGGACACGTCTCAGATAATTACATCGGGTAGAAGTTATGATGTACAGGTAGCTCAAATGAGTAGGTAGCTTCCAACAGGTAATTATGATACAAGAACTTTGTATGACCAATCTCATCAGCAGTAAAGCGACTGGTTATACTCTAGGTAAAAGTGAACTGGAGCTTTATTGTGGTTATGAGCTATGCAGAAGTCACATTGCGGGGTGATAAGGAGTGTTGTCATGGACCAAGGGCCTCTTCTGAGTCAATAGGAAGTATGTACAAAGATATCTGTTCTATTCTATCCTAATCTACTTCATTCCATCCTATTTCGTTCTGATCTATACTTGTCTTTACTATTCTATTCTACTCCATTCTATTCTACATGAGAGTATACTAGAAAGATCGAGAACAGTAGAGAGGAATAGGGAGGGATATATAATGGGTAATTGGGAGGACTTGGGCTCGGCAGATTATGGTCTTGTATTCATAGGAACTCTTTAGAAGTTATTGAATCTTATGTTGAACTGTCGAACTCTTGAACTATTAGACCTTCGTGTTGTGAATACCATGGATCAGCTCCGATTGAGTCTCATTGAGCTTCCACTATCGCGGCACTTGGAGACTCGGGCGCAGGATGCTAGGTGATATTAGGTCACTGACTGCACAGCTGAGGACCTAATCACTCTGGCAACATCCCTACGTCCGAGCGTTGCCTGGTAGACCAATGTGTCTAGAATGAGGTACACATCACTCTGATGGCTACCGAGGGGCAACAGCATACAATGTGACAATGGTATGTAACTCTGTAATCCCAGAAGGTCCACACTAGTAACCAGTATTGATGGTATGTTATGTCAGGAGATATTGGTAGTGGCTATGGAAGTGGTTACTGTGACAGGAGTAGGAAGCACCTGTGATGAGTGCATCATCAGGACTGGGGGTTGAACGTGTATATAAGGATGCAATAATTCCGCACATAGATAGACAACTATCTTACTAATGTCCATTCCAACGCATCTTCGCACTACAGCTACATCAATTATATCCGCATATCCATAATCATCTGCATCCATTTCAGGTATTCCTCTGCCTTCTCATGACCTCGTTCCCCCATAGTCTTAGACTCAGTAGGGACTACAATAAAAGAAAAAAAAATATAATCTTCTCATGACCTCGTTTTCATAACACTTCGGAATGCAAACCCCTCTTGTACTCTTGACAAGTGGTTGATGTTATATTCAGTGATTGACAGTGAATAGACTCTTATGTTTTTATGCCGTAGGTATATGAATAGTAAGTATAAGACTAAATCTGTGTCCATTTATTGTGGGTACATCTATGAAACTATATACATGCTCGCCTAACCAGTTCATCAGTGATGTATGCTGTGGCCTTGAGCCATACGCAATGCTCTAGCCTCGACTACCTCGTTGTCTCATATCCTAACAATCTTCCTCTCAACTCATACAACAGCTCAATGTTACATGTGATAAGCCCTGAACTCAATCTATGTGGTAACCAACCCATTACTTGGCCCATCAACATATTTTCTATTTACTAAGACTAGTATAAATGGCATGGCTGCTCATTTGGGAGCACACTTTGGTGAGCTGCATACTGGTTACGAGATTGGTCTGCGAGCGAACAAGCTAGGTGGTACAGTACGAGCTTCCCACAATCTGTAACATAACAATTACCATAGTATCTTCACTTCTGCACATCAATGAAGATTCCCTCCACAAACTATCTTTGCCATTGCAGCGCAAGTGTGAATTCCCAAATCATATACCAATCATAATAACTCATTACTCGAGTAACTTTTGAAAGACTTTTAATGTGGCTTGTAACAGCGAAGGACCTTCTGCAGGCTTATCTGACATGTTCACTAAATAGGAAAGTCCGATTGAAGACATCCAAATACTAGCGCGTGTGGGCGTTCAGTGTGATCTCAACTCCATCTGCATATTCACGAGGTTCTAGTGGGGATCCGTGCTTTTGGTGAAAGTATTGTAGTTTCGTTTTCGAGACTTCAAGGGCGATGCTGTTCTCACGTCTCCAGGCGATGGTCATAGACAATTGCACCTAGAGTAACTCTCTGCAGCGGGCGAGAGTCGGTGCGGACGCTATAGATGTTGTGCTGGTGATGGATAGGATTACGATGCACAAGGGTAATGATCACTGAGGGTGAAGGAAGATCTTTCCAGGTAGCTCCATAACGAGAAGAAGAGTAACGGAGCACTGTTTAGAAAGTTTTTCTAGATTGTACTACCAGATGGGGACACTAGAATATTCCATGATACTGTTTTGGGTAAATAAGGCGAGAGTCTAGCTACCTCAGATGTGTATATAATGAGTGATTTCTACCTCCTACACCCTCATAGTTCAGAATACCAAGAATATCAGCAGTTTAGCTTGATTCATCAATAATCATCTGTAAACATTCTGCCAATTAACCTCCGTAAGCTCTTACCTTTACAACTTCCTGTATCAGATTATACATTCCCCACATATTATTTTCTACCATCTGTATCATTTCACCCTCGTGACTATACTTTCTCAATATCACAATACACTGGCCAAATCCACTGTAGCCATGAATTAAATTATCTCTGGGGAAGACAGGCGGAACAGATGTCGCAGTTTCTGAACGAAATGCATGGGCAATCTTGTAGGTGCAGTATATTAATTATAATTCTCTCATGAGAGAATTTCTGTTGCTAAATACCAACTATTTACGCCATCTGAAATATGCCCCTTTGAGAAGGTTCTCTCTGTGATTTGATGGACTCGACTCTTTGACGACTACCTAGAAGATTCTTGATACTCCTATCGCCCTCATGAGTCTTCAGTCTATTTTCCGAAGGTTCATTGAGAATATTCCAAGTTCCCTGCTATCCGAGATCTACCCAGGAGGTTCCTTTGGTGTAATTGCCTACGCTAGATAGCGTAGGATACAGGAATCATTAGGCTCAACAGCCGTGTCACAACAGCAAACAATACAAAATCAAACCAATCTCTACTGAATCACTACAATTTATTTTGAAATCTCCCCATAGTCATTCCAACACTTTCAATTTCAAATTTTAGCAAATTCCTCTATATTGACACTACTGCATTTATGGTTAACATTCAATCCTGCCTCCACAGTATTTTATATTTCCAAAAATCTAACGGTAATTGGCTCCAGCATCTCTATCATAATGGGTGCACAGTTTCCATTGACGGTCATTGTAATCATAATACCTAACATTGTATACAGCTCCGGGCTCATCCAAGTAAGCGCGGAATCCTGTAAATTCTTTTGACACACCAGAAATCAGTATTGAGGGAGTCAGATACAATTTATGTGCACTTACCTTTCGTAGTTTGAGCTCCTTCGCCAATTTCAATATAGCATAATTGTACGCCACCTTTGATCTCAAATTCGGAAAATCTTGTATCAGACAAACCAACCCAATGCCTAGCTTGCGCCCTCACATCATCACCTTTGACGTTTCTGCCGGCACATGTCCAGCCATCTGCCAGTGCTGGAACTACAAGGCTAAATAGCACAATAGCGATTTTCGGAACAAAAGTCTTCATGTTGAAGCCGATCTCTTTAGTATTTGTTTTTGATGTCTAGAAATATTATTATCTATGCTGATTGACACAATGCTTCTACTATTACCAATGACAAGTTTGATAAGAATGGGATATTAGTAGTGGCAATTGTAACCTGGAGTGACTTCAAGAAGTGTGAACGGCGAGGAAGCTGATGTTAGATAGAGATGGGATTGCAGGACAAGTCACTTTTATGGTTGAATGATTATTTTCAAAATGATCAAGTTTGTAATAATTACTTTTAACAGGAGCCGGTAGGATTGGAGACTTGTTGATTGCAGTTAAGATTGCCATGGAAGTATGAATGAGTCAGAGTAAATTACAAACATCGGCTCTCCATTGGCAACATGCATCTTAGAGGCTTCATCCTTCCAAGATAGATGGATGTCAGTACAAGTGTAAGCTTAGCCCGGAGAGCCTCCGGCATTTATTTGGTGATCTACATCACAGAGTGACTGAAAATGATCGAGCTGTGGGGAGGAATGCTCGTAAATGGAAGAGGGAGCCTTCCTACAGATTAACAACACAATCCTGCTGCTCAGCAAGAACCTTGGCTCTCAGCTGGTTGAGATGTATTTTTCAGCTTCCAGTCGTGTACGTGTAACTGCTCAGTGTGCTCTGCATATTGAAGATGACAAAGGAGAATGGCATCCAAATCCTAAAATGACCATATCTAAAATCCACGACCTCTCATTATTGTCAGTCCAAACATTTGGTTCCGAGTACTCCGACTTAGGGACCGCTCAAAGAGTTACTCCAATTGCAAACAGGAGCTTGATCCACAGCTTACCAGCTATCCCTCCCTACAAAATAAGGACGCTACATATATCTGTAAGGTGGAAATCAAGTCAAAGTGAACAAAGCTCTGGTCCTGGTTCATGGACGACTGTTTCTCTAATGGGGTTATACGGTTTGGGGGGGGGGGGGGGGGGGATAGGCTGTTGGGATGTGGAATAGGAGATGGAATATCTCTCGAACAAACATGCTGAGACTGATAAGCTTGAGAGGTTTTCGACTATGAGGTGTTTTGTGGGCGCCAAGACTTCTATTGCAAGAGCGCGGGCAACACCTTAAGCACTGCCATGGCTGCATGGCGTAGTGGTATATCATCTTGGCCTATCTCCCAACTAGATTCTGGATAGTTTGAAATCATTTCCCACTTGAGATGGGAGATCACTGATTTGAATCCGGCAAAACTTAACTACATTTCTCGCGACCCTGGCATAACATGATTACCAAGGTTTTGAATTTCCCTTTGGCAGGTACAAACAGAAGTGGGCCGACTATTTTTATGAGCAAATGTACTTCAAATTGGTAATTGCAAACAAAATACAGAGTGTGAGTACTGTTTGTTTGTTCTATTTAATGTCTAAATGGAGTAGGCCGGAGCCCAAATCTCCCAGACTGCATCTGCTAGGCAAAGATATATTTATTTGAATCTCTCTCAGAGTTGATTGAATTCAGTGTCCTCCACCATGAGGAATCTATCTAGGTACTATATATGGAAGGGTGATGATGCATATGGTTGCATACACTTGGTATCTTCAATTAAATGGTTGTGTAAAGGGTTGAAGGAATTCAGAAGTACTTGAAGTCGTTAACACAATGGAAATGAATAAATTTTCCTTGGGGAAAGCTAAACTACCGTATTTTATCCTGTCCTTTATGTCTTTCGCGTACGCTAGTATTAATTCCCCCCTTTAGCCATATGAGAATTAATCCTTTCTCCCTGTCTCTCTTCTCCTGTATTGCACGGCCCCCCCATCTGGTATGTACCCCCTTTTGTCTATCCAGGAGCATTGCTCTACCACTACCTTATCTTGGAGACAAAGTGGTCCTAGTGACCAGTCCCAATCCGGGCAAAGCCCGTCACAGGTTGTGGCTACTCAGGGGGCTTAGAATATACTTAGGTGATTATGGCAAAAAATGTTACGGGATGCAAATGGTATCTTATTGTGTCATTATGTTATGTTATGTTACAGATTATCTACATGATAATTAACCAATCCCACATATTTCCAGATAGCGCCGTAGCTAGTCTCTTTTAGGAGTGATCTACGGGTGAATGTAGCAATTGGTGGTATCTAATTTATCACTAACCTGTTTCCATTTCCCCGACTCTGCGTGCTACACTACGTGGATGAAAATTTACTACTGATATGAAAAGCGCAATCATGACACTATATATATCTTGAGAGTATTCTTCTTATTCCAAATATAGACTGACTATTAGATTTCACATGCAAACTTGTTATAATCTACCAAGAGATCCCAGATCTGTGCAGATTTATGCATGCCAATATTTCATGCAAGTCCAAGGAGATGGACTTGAGGGCAACCCATAATTAGGGCATTATAGATTTGTAATGGAATGGTATGGGATCAAATAGTATGGAATGGAATGATGAGGGATTGCATAGCATAGAGTAGAATGGTGTCAGGATTGCCTTCTGCATAATCTATATGTGTGGAGATAACCAGATTCTAGTGTTCTATGATTCTGGTCTGGCCTTTTGGCCGAGCGGTTATGCACCTATCTCATGCATAATGTAGGATGGCGCCCTTTAGCCTGAATACCACTTCTTTGATACACGTCTCTGCCCTGCTGTCTACATGCTGCTCTGACAAATGGAATGGAATGTACTGGATAGTGTAGGAACTGTGATATGGCTATCCAGGACATGTGTATTATGAGATGTATCTCCTAGTAGTAGGAGCAAGCAATAGTCATCTGAATACAAGCGTTCCTCAGTTAACACAAGTCTTTTCTATATCTACGTTGGTGTTCTACAAACACATATAGCATCCTTCCAAGGTAGAGATTCAACCCGTATGTGCTCATAATCTTAACAAAACTGCTCAAATCTTCGTTCCATACCTGGTTATATAATTGGCTGTGTGTTATATTAACTAGGCTATATGGGAGCAGGACGATGGATACTCTTGGGGAAGTTTTGCTCACCGTAGGTCTCTGTAGTCGCTGTCGCGTGTGTTCTCGTGATATGTAAGACTTGACTCTATATTCTCGTATAAAGGAAACTTAGTTACAAAATGAATGGACGGAGGTTGAGACCTCCTTATATCTTGCTCCAGACTTACTGTGTTGTTCACAGCCTAGTGCTAGAACATTCCCTTATGATATCATTTCTCTCCTACGAGAAATGACCAGCTCGTTCTCTCTCAGTCTATCAGTCTCCCGCTGATTCCATTATCTCTATTCCATCGAGTTCTAGTTTGGTCCAGTATACCCACACATGCATTACACACTAAACACCCCACGGTTTAGTTCCACAGTCACGTGCATATGCTATGACGCGACCTAAAGCATGTACCATGGTAAGTTACATGGATAACACAACACTCCCCCTGACGACAATAGACGTCTAACAATTTTGAAGTTGCATTCTAGAACTGATGTGTTCAGGATGGACGCCGAACATTTTCGAGGAATCAGCACTCATTTTATTTGTACTGAAGAATTTGCCTTTGTCAGACTATCCGCAATTTGTTGATCCGATGGCACATAAATCACTGCAATCGCTTCTTGTTGGTACTGTTGGCGACAGTAATTATTCCGCAAAGCAATATGCTTCGAGCGCTTATGGTTGTCGTGATTTTTAATCAGTGACATTGCGGATTGATTGTCGACGTACAAATTTGTTCGTCCCGACCCTTCAATGAGTTGAGCAAGACCTAATTCGATTAGTAATGATTTAACCCATTGCAGCTGTCGACATGTCTCCGTTGCGGCTAAATACTCCGCCTCTGTTGTTGATAAAACAACCTCTCGTTGTAAGTGTTGAAAGTCATGCGATAAATCTGTAATTGTATCACGTGTCTCGCTTAGAATTCCACACTTTCCGTAATTGTAAAGTGTGTAGATAATTGTAAGAACAAGAAAAGGTGTACCAATAGTTGTAGTTATAACACACACAATAAATTATATATATATTTATATTATAAGGAATCTGATTTCGAGAGCAAGTATCCACACGCAGCTGAATATATAGCTGGTATGCAGTATACTCTTAACTCCACTGTCGCATAAATAACAACAGGTTCTGAGTCCGGTAGCAAAAGCTAATAGGTCAAAAGATTTCTTAACCTCAACCTAAATTAATTATACGAAAAGGTGCAATGTCTGTCCAAGATTTCGAAAGTTCCAAGATGGCTCCAAAGATTGAGGAGATGCTTACGTCAAGCAATAAGCCTGTGTGGAGTCAACCCAAGGCCTCCTCAAATGCTATGGGAAATGTCGGTACACTCCAGTTGCCTCCTTATTTCAAGTTGAAGGGGGAGGAAAATTACGAGCAATGGAAGAACAATATGGAGAACATTGCTCTAGCCAACAACTTGGAGGACTACATATGTGATGAAGTGGAAGAACCCCCACATGTGTCCATCAAAGAAAGATTTTTGAATAAGGAGGCATTTGAAATGAGAAAGCAGTGGCTTGCTGGAGATGCTAGGATGAAACTAGCCATTATGATCAACTCAGCCCCAAATATTCACGGCATGATTGATGGCAAGACTTCAGCTCTCCAAATGTGGACAAGTCTGCAAGAACGGTTTGAGGGAAAAGGTTGGAATCTAGAGTATCGAGCCATAATTGATTGGTCGAATATAAGATTTGAAGACTTCATCGACCTCAACCACTATGTTTCTGAGTTCACCAAAAGGGTCGAAAAGATCTCCTCACTCTCTGATTCTATACCAGAGAGATGGAATGGAATGTTCTTTATCGCCGGAGTGGCTAGAAAGTTTCCAGTTTGGGCCGAGAGACAGAGATCCCAGGCTCGAAACACCGCCGTAGCTCCCTCACTCGACTATTTAATTGCTGATCTCCTAGATGAGGCACGCAATTTCGAGACATGCTCCTCTAGCACTACTATGATGGCGAAGGGAAGAGGGAAGGCTAATGAAGGCGGCAATAAATTCAATTGCCAATATTGCAATAATGGCAAGTGCTATGAGCACAATAA